GGAGGGCCTGCAACCTGAATCGTTGAGGATTGTGGCCGGAAGAGATGCGCGGTGTGATGTCGGCTGATTAAGCTGATAAGATCGGCCCTCGGGGCTCGAGGGGGAGGACCTAATGCGAAGAGATCATTGGATTTGGGTTGACTGAGTTGCAGGCTGCTGCAGGGCTCAACGAAGAGTACGTACTGGGCTAGATCAGAGCCTTCCTCGTCTTTGCTGTGTTTGCGTCTGATGTGCCACACGCTCGGCCGCGGCGGGGCCTGACGACTGATGCGCCGGGCCTGGCGGCCTGACGTGTTCGCAGCCCGCAGCGCGATGGCCCAGGATGGCCCCGTGCCAGGTCCTGTCCTACGTGCGCAGAGGACGGAAGTGACGGAGAGTCCTTGTGGGACGGGTTTGCCTTCGTGATTTTGAAACGCGATCCGCAGAGAGAGCAGGAAGCGCGGCCTGGGGGTGCACTGGGGCCTGCGCGTGACTTCGCATCCCGAATACTTGAATGCAACGCTAGTCGGTAACGACGCCTGAGAGAACCCCTCACTGGCAACTTGGCGGGGCACGATTGTCGGAGACCCTATAAAAATCCCAGTATCAGTGCCAGAAAAATGCGCGAGCAGATGGTCATGCGGTACGATGAAATAAACTGGCGTTCTCTGCCGGCCTTTGAGTGGCCGTGATGTTAGTGCAGGACACCATTCGTCACGGGTCTTGTTTCGTGAATGATATTCAGAGTGCACGCGTTTGATTTTCGTTGTTCCCTGTCATACGAATATCACGTGCAGTCTTCGCTGATCTGCAGTCATGTGCTGAAGTGCTTGCGAAACGTTTCTGGTATGCATATATACGGCCCGAAAAGTCATCCGCGTAAGCATGGGTGTTGCCTCAACGAAAGACACCCGTATTATGGTCAAAAAGAAGAGAATGTCTCGCGCTTGGGATCCACAGCAGTGCATACAAGTGTATACAAGTCCTCCGCGCCATAAGACGCAATCTCGAGACCGGATGACTCACCGACACCCACAAAACCCCGCAAGTCCTCGGCCACCTCGAGCCAGATCTCGCAAAATGCCGACGTCGTAGTTTCTCAGTCTGGTTGCGCGATCGCCTGAGTTCACGCGAAGGCCGAAGATGAGAACGGCACGACGGTCACCCAAGAAAATTCCTGGGCGTTGTAATGTCAAAAGCAGTGAGAACAACCTCGAATGAACAAGACCGACCTCCATATCCGTGAGTGAACAGTGGTCGTTGATGATGCGAAAGTTGGCGGGGATTCGGCATCAGATACGATGGGGCAAGTCAAACCAAGGAGGGCCAAGGAAGTATCTGGTTCAGCTCGTCGCGGTTGGATTGTCTGGAAGTTGAACCCACCAAGCTCACGCTTTGGAATACCCTGATCGGTCGAGAGATCTGCCAGTGTGAATTATTTGTCATCTGGTCATCGGAGTCACGTCATGGCTTGGATCTCGCAATCACATTTGCATAAGCGCGAGCTTCTCCCTTCAAGCTGATCCTGCTTTTGGTCAAACATGTCGACTATAGATTTGCCGGGTGTCAATGCTTTAAACACTTCTAGAAGGTCTCTCGAGGGGTGAGTCATTCTGCGGACGGTGATGCATTCAACGGTTGGCCTGAACCATTCTGCCCTGCAATCTCCAGACGTCCTCGATCGCTGACGTTCCGTCCTTCTCTGGCCTGCTTATTGAGAACGATCCCGTGATCAACCTTCTTACTCTCCCGAGCGTCGGCTCGAGCAACGGGGTGCGCGTGTGGTCTCTGGTCATGGTCCTTTGTGTGAGCTTCCGCCCGTTTCTGGTACAGACGCCCGTTCAACGTTCGAACATTCAACCTTGAGCAGCCGTGCCGCACCATCAAACCAGTTCACCGCCGCCCTCTCAACTGAACCGTTCGCCACCCCACAAATCGTGATCGTGACTACGACCGACATATATAAGGCCCATCGAGCACCATCGATAGCAGCACCTTCCTCACCTCACACACACACTCTCGCACCTCCCTCTACACACAGCTATGGTCCTCAAGCTCTACGGCAACCCCCACTCGACGTGCACTAACCGCGTCCAAACCGTGCTCGAGGAGCTCTCCGTTCCCTACGAGCTCGTCGCCATCGACTTCAGCAAGGGCGAGCACAAGGCGCCCGAGTTCACCGCAGTGCAGCCGTTCGGCCAGGTCCCCTACCTCGATGACGACGGCTTCAAGATTTTCGAGTCGCGCGCCATCTGCCGCTACATCGCGCTCAAGCACGGCGGCGTCGAGAAGGGCCTGATCCCCGCGGCGAGCGATCTCCAGAAGACGGCGCTGTTCGAGCAGGCGGCGAGCATCGAGGTCTCCAACTTTGACCCGAGCGCAAGCGCGGTTACGTTTGAGAACGTGTTCAAGCCGTGAGTGTTATTTCTTTGCTTTGCGTACGCGCGTGCGGGGGCGGTACGGTTGTTGCGAGGGTTAGCCGACAGGGACTGAATTCGGGCTTTCAGGATGTTTGGTCTCACCACGGACCCCGAGGCGGTCAAGAAGCTCACCACGACGCTCGACGGCAAGCTCGCGGCCTACAACGTCCTCCTCGGCAAGACCAAGTACCTCGCTGGCGATGTACGTTCTATGCTTACCTTCTCCGAGCCTCAGGCGCTGACTGGTCCACGCAGGAGGTCACGCTCGCGGACCTCTTCCACCTTCCGTACGGCGCGATGCTCAAGGCGCAGAGTATCGACTTCCTCGAGAGCGGCAAATACCCGAACGTCGCGCGCTGGTGGGCGGACCTCAGCTCGCGCTCGTCGTGGAAGAAGGTTAAGGGCCTCTAAGCCCCCAGAAGGATTACCATGTATATGTATTTGTAGCGCATGAAATGCGATGTCTGGACGACCGATCTCTGATCGCGCCTTTTGATCACCTTGTCGTTCGTTTCGTTTCGGGCTCCACGCGGGCTGAGGACGAGTTTCCTGGGATAAACGTAGATCAACGTTTTTATGAGTTTTGAGAATACTATACGCGCAGTATGACATTCAGATCATGGAGCCTTCGAAGTTCGAACAATACATCGGAATCGCTGAAAAGAGGTAGGAGTGCAATCGGCGTGTTCGGCCCGGCAACGAGTAGGTGACGGTCGTAGTGACCAGGATCACGTTGTTCGTGACGCCTCGCGTTGAGGCATGGGAAACGGAAGGACGGGTGAGGTCAGCGGATGTATCTTTCATTTTCCTCCACACTCCACCGTGCGCCCGAATCGCTCCATTTGGTGCCCCCGACGATGAAGGCCCCCACGCCCCTCACGTGTCTCTGCCGCGATCTCCTCTTTCACGCACCCCCGCGTGGCCTAAGCGGGCCAAGAACCGCAAGAACGCGTATTTCGATCCCAAAAGCTGCCGGCGAAAACTCGCTATGAAACCGGAGGTCCGGATGGATAATGTGGAAGGTCAGATGATGGCGCACGTACGTGAAGGAGAGAAGGAACATCCTGCGAGCAGGCAGTATAAATGCGTCGAGGAGGGCGTGGGTGTGGGCCATCCCACAGACACTCCCTCAAAACTACCCGGCAGGATGCTTCGCTTCGTAGTCGCCGCAGTGCTCTCATATGCTCTCGCGCTCTCGGTGTTCGCGGCGGGGCCCACCCCGAACCAGATCAAGAACCTCGTCACCTTTGGAGACTCGTACACGGATATCGTGAGTCCACTCCTCTCAGCCCGATTTCATTCCCAAGCATACCGCACATACCGACCTCTTTCCCGCGTGTCAGGATACCCATGCAGACGGCGGGATCATGTGGCCCGTCTTCGCCGCGCAAGACGGGAACCTCGCCCTCTTCCCGTTCGCCAAGTCCGGCGCGACGTGCAGCAACAAGCTCACCCCGCGCGTCTTCCCGGGCGTGTTCGACGACGAGCTCCCCGCATACTTTGCCGCGAAGGCGAGCGGTTCGCTCGGGCGGCTCTCCCCTGCGGAGACCATGTACACGCTCTGGATCGGGACGAACGACGTTGGGGCCGGCACGCTGCTCACCGGGCAAGCGAACCCTGGCGTCACTGTGGTCGACACGACGGCGTGCGCGGTGAACTGGGTCAGCGCGTTGTACAAGTCGGGCGCAAGGAACTTCATCTTCCAAAACGTGAGCGTCGCGTCCTTCTCTGCGCTGTCTCTTCCCTTGCGTGCGTGGAGAAACACGCCGGCCGTTGACGCGATCGCACTTCCAGATGATCCCACTTGAGACGACGATCCTCTACGCCGCAGACTCGTATCCGAACCGCTTCTGGACCGCGGAGCGTAACACGACCGAGTGGAGCGTCTTCATGCGCGAGCTCACCACCTCGGGCAACGCCATCGCGAAACTCATGCTCCAGGCCCTCGCGCCCACCCTCCCAGGTGCCCACATCGGTGAGCCCCCTCCCTCCCCCACTCTTTCTCCCCTGCGTTCCCGGCGCTCACGCATTTGTGATCCAGGCCTCTTCGACTCGCACACGCTCTTTGCGCAGATGTTCGCGCAGCCGCAGCGCTTCCTGAACGGCACCGCGCCGCTCAACGTCACCGGCTGCGCGCACTCGTGCGTCTTCGCGCCGAACGAGCGCACGAGCGACCCGGGCGTGTGCACCGACGCCGTCGGCACCGACCAGGACAGCTTCCTCTGGTGCGTGGCCCCGTCCCCTTTCTCTTCTCGTCGTGTGTGCTAGCAGAGCTGACGGTCGGGGGTGTGTGCAGGTTCGACGAGCTCCACCCGTCGGTGCAGGCGGAGCGGGTCGTGGCGAAGCTTATAGCTGCAGCGATCCACAGGCAGCCGGAGGCGGACGAGTTCATTACGTGGCTGTCGTGAACGAACTCGAGGATGGTTCTATAAAAGTCGTTTGTCTGTTACCAAACCTTCGTACAGGCTGCGTTGCAGTGATCCTTGGATCCTTCGACCATAGCGCTCCAAAATCATATCCCCTCATCGTCCCAGCTGGTCGTGAAAAAGGATGAGACGCTGTGAAAGATTGGATACGTCGTCAGTTCATGACAAAACAAATCTCTCTGTCGGGGAGTCGAACCCCGCTTTCGCGCGATGCAGATGTTTGATTCATGACAGGCGCGTGTACTAACCGATATACTAACAGAGAATAATTATGATGGAGCTACATTACGATTATGAGACACAAGAAGCAACGCTCCCGACACAATTTAACACCTTCAAACACTCACTCGCCTTCGGCCCCTCCTGTTGGCATCCATGATATCTCAAGCTGTATTACGTTGAAAATTGGTATCACCAAACACCGCAATGATCAAGGCATGCAGCGGAAGAGCATGGTCATACAACATGAGTCATGACATGATGTCACATCATGTGCGAGATCATAGATGATTGGTCTGTAGTCGAGGCGTTGGCGCCGGCGCACCGTGTTCCACTGGTGTCCATCGCACACCGGGATCGAATGAGATGAGGCGGTCGACGCAGATGCGAAAGCGGCGGCTGAATTAGGAGCGCGAGCAGTGCTCAGCTGCGTTCGCGCGCCACATGCTGGCGGTGCGGCTGAAGTCTGAGTGGCGGGAACAATACAGCAACTCGCGCCCATACGCGGGTCACGACTTCCTGAGGTTGCGGGTGTTCGACCCACCAAAACACACAACCAGGGCTGCGCTGGGAGCGCACGGACACTCGCCTGCAGCGATGTCTCGCTTCTGCCGCGCGGTGCTCAATCATGCGCCCGTCGGATCGTTCCGAGCGCGTTTCTTCAAGGGTGAACCCACGGAATGCCCCAAGTGTCATGTGCTGCAAAGCCGCAGCCACATACTGCTCGAATGCACGAGGTATGAACGCCGGTGGCGCTGCGGAGGCGAGATGGATTTCCTGCAGCGCCTCGAGGCGTACCAAGACCTCAATGCTTTCATCAGCAAGAACGATGGCGCATTCACGTTCGCGGACGCGCCGTCATAAAGAAGGGGGTGTGTGAAAACATACGCACCAAACAGCGAAGGCAAGCGGCAAAACACAGCGCGTGCACGACGTGAAAAGACCGCCCTGCGGCACAGATGACAAGCACTCCGGAGTCCGAACAGACGGGGTGCGACCAGCCCTTAGATGTAGGCCCACAGGCTGAGAACACTCGCCCACCAAGTGTCACCCATGTAGAAAAGCCGCACCTGTACTCCGTACGCGGGTCCCGGGATATAAATGATTGACCCAAAAAAAAAGTCGAGCCGTTGCGGTAGCACTCGCCTATATAACTAAACGACCAGAGCTGTCTTACTTACATAGTGTACATGGTTTATAAACTTCTCTCTGTCTCTCAGATGTCTGTGAGTTCTCCTCAAGTTTTCCTACGTCAGACACTGAACGGAGATTCAAACTCTGTTGTGTCAAATGTGATATAAAACAAACATACAAACCTAGTGGAAGTTGTCTACAATGCTAGTGCCGACATTTGGCAGTGCCTGTCCTTGTTATTAACTCTACCTTCAATATTCATGGAAGTGACGAGGAATGATAATAGTGCAGGTTTAGTGTATAACAGCTATGTATTAATGCTGTGAGAAGGTCTTCAAGGCGAGATGGCCGAGCGGTCTAAGGCGCCAGACTAAGGTGAATGGGTTTCAGCCCTCCGAAATCTGGTCCGAAAGGGCGTGGGTTCGAATCCCACTCTCGTCATCTTTTTTTCCCGCTCAGATCGTCCTGTTTCCGAGGCTCGTCAGAGAAGCCGGCGGCCGTTCGGCGTATCCATGTTGATCCTCTTGACCGTCGACTATCGTCTACACGTGCACCCCACCTCCGCATGTCCGCCCATCTTCGCTTGCTCTCCACAGCTCGCGCTACAACCCGCCCCGGCTTCTCCAAATTTCTCGTCCAGCGGCGTCCAGCGTCAACAACACCTACGCCGTCCAGCTCTACCGCGCGGAATGCGGTCTATGCGTCTCTCTTCGTTGTGACGTCTGGCCTCTTTGTCATCTACTATCTGGACTGTCGCGCCGCACTGCACAAGTATATCGTAACCCCAGTCATTCGCCATACGCTCGACCCCGAGACCGGGCACAAGCTCGCGGTCCGTGTCTTAAGCTCTGGGCTTGCTCCACGCGACCCTGTGGTGGACGATGAAGTCCTGAGGGTGGAGGTACGTGTATGCGCTCAGATTGCATACCTTAGTATGAACGTTGCTTCTCGGGGACAGTTGTGGGGCGAGGAAATGAGCAGTCCTGTAGGGCTCGCTGCTGGGTTTGACAAGAATGGAGAGGCCATTGACGGTGAGTCGTACGTTGGTCGCTTGCTCTGTGGTGCTCATTGGTATGTTTTTCGACATTAGGTCTCTT